TGAGACAGTCGCAGCACGAGTCCTTATTCTAACGGCCACATGGCATTTTGAAGTTACAGTTTAAACACACAGTGTTATATAACAATAGCGACGCTTATGGAAGATGTTTTCTGTAACTTAGGCTACGTTCACTCTGCAGGTCTTAATGCTCAACTCCGATTTTCTGATCAAATCCGATTTTTTTGTCTGCTTGTTCACACGACAAATAAAATGCGACAGCAAACGCGCTCCAGTGTGAACGCTCAGAGCGGCCGCGTGCGCAAAAGAAGACGTCACACACGACGCTCTGTTTAGACCCAGAGCAACAGCATTGTTTGACTGATGGCCTTAATATAAAGACTTGTTTCGTACTCTACGTTTCCCACTTTTGCTTTAAGTTATAAAGTTATTGTGTTATTTACATTTGGCCTAATAATGATCCTGATTGCTGTGTTAGAGGAGCGCTGCTTCTAGCTGCAGATTTCTGTCAGACTCTGCAGATTATACATCCATCCATCCATTCACTTCCGCTTTTCTTTTCAGGGTCGCGGGGGGCGCTGGAGCCAATCCCAGCTGTCGTAGGGCGAGAGGCGGGGTACACCCTGGACAGGTCGCCAGTCTGTCACAGGGCTAACACACAAGGACAGACAACCATTCATACTCACATTCACACTTAGTGACAATTTGGATTATCCAATTAACCTATCCCCACAAGCTGCATGTCTTTGGACGGTGGGAGGAAGCCGGAGTACCCGGAGGGAACCCACGCAAACACGGGGAGAACATGCAAACTCCACACAGAAAGACCCCGGCCTGATGGTGGAATTGAACTCAGGACCTTCTTGCTGTGCGGCAACAATGCTAACCACCGTGCCACCGTGCAGATTATACAGAACAAATAAAATGTTCACGTTTCTCCAACATCGTCTTCCCAACAGTTTCACTGACATCTACACGGGATGGTCAGGAAGCGTTCGCAATGTCTTCTCCAGCGCTGATAATGGCGTCTGTCTTGTGTCGGTGACGTAAAAGACAGATTTAATGCGACGTGACCATCAAACAGCAGTCGCTTTCTGAAACATCAGATATGTATCGGATTCAGCACCACATACCAAAGTGACCCAGATCGGCTTTGAAAATATCGGATTTGTGCCGTTCACACTGTCACACCATGATGGTCGCAGAGGGTCAGAAAAGTCGGATTTGATGCGCTTTCGCCTGCAGTGTGAACGTAGCCTTAGTTATGGTTAGTTATAGTTAGGCACCAAACAAGACTTTACTTTAAAACAAATGATTTGTAACTGTTAATAAAATATCGTGTGTGAAGTTAAATGTTTTTCATTAAAATTATACATCCTGCAGCCTAAAATAGATAACATTAGAAACAGAAACTTGCTGTAAGGTTGTACAAACAACTAAGGCAGTAAAACTTTTAATCCAGCCTCAGCCTCCTAGAAGAGCCACCTATGGTTTATATTTGAAAGGTGATTTTCAGAAAGGTTGACCTCTGAACTATCCATTCTCTTAACCACTTATCCAAAATATCTTGGCTGTCACAGAGTAAGCGGAGGGGTGCATGCTGGGGGCTGTACTTCAGCATATCCAAAGGATCTTTCAGTTATCTTGTTTCAGTTAGTCTAACATCAGCAATCAGGCTAAGCGGTCACATAAAGCGGGTTATCTACTCAATAAGTTAACCAAGGATTTATCAACCTAGCTACGATTGCATTAACACAGAAAGGGCGACACTGACAGCATCTGATCGATTACAAACATATTCAAGTTTGCTAAGGAAGATAAAACTATAACATTAGAAAACTATGAAAAGGTTAAACACATAATACAGACTAAATATAACATTCATATTTAAAAGAATTAATCAAGGAAGTTACATCTAAGAATCTATGATTCTTACTGATGCCAATCAGAGAAAGGCAAAAACTTTAAGACACTCCCACTCTCCATCCAAAGGGATCTTTCAGAAATTTCTGGAGAACCGATTAGTCAGTAAGAGGTGATCGTGTACCTGCTGATCTCTAATCTATAGCACAACCTGCTCCAGAGCATGTTAGGTTTTCAAGCGTTGCCCCACTGGTAAGGAGTGGGTGTTATGACCTCCTTAATTCTGAAAACTCAGGGTTCACCGTTAAGGTGCATGGATACAGCGAATTCCTGCTGTGTGGTACCAGGCGTCTGGACAGGTCACCAGTTCATCACAGGGTGGACGCACAGAGACAGACACCCACTCCACACTCACATTCACACCTACTTTTCCTGACGTGCACGTCTTTGGACTTTGGGCTCCAAGCAAACACACAGAAAGGCCCCGGGTGGCTGATGGATTCGAACCCAGGCCCTAGTTCAGACAGTGCTGTGTTTAACACGATAAAAACACAATGAAATGCGTTATTACCTCCACGTAAGACCTGGTCCATGCACTGGTGAGCTTGTTTACATCTACGTCTCCTGTCGTGAGTCTTTGCAGTGCCAGCTCTGCCTCTCTGTCATAATCCAGAATCGTCTCCTTCTCAACGAAACTGGAAAGTGAGTTTTTCAGTTCTAGAGCAACAAAGGACACAAAGTAGATATTTAAAAAAAGAAAGTCTTTCAGGTCTGTGCAAGCAAAGTGGAAAGTGCAACTCTGTAGCTTTGTACAAGAAATGTAACAAGCTCCTGTAATCGAATGCTTTAGTGCAGCTTCTAGCTGTCTTATGTTACAGTTAGGGCCGTGGTTACACTCAGGGAAGGGGAAAGAATAACAATCTCACCACTTTCTAAGTAGCAGGGTATTTTGTGCAGCAGCATCAGGCGTCCGTGAAGGTCACTGATGTTCTCCTGCACAGGAAGCTGCAGGGGCACTTTAAGGACACAGTTGTGTTTACCTGCCCTGAACTCGAACACAAACTCCTTCTCAGTATTGCTGCTTGCCTTGGCTTTGTTCTTCTTCATGGTCACAGCTGAAAAAACAAAACAAGATAGCAGAAAACCATGAATGAATTCAAGCCTCCGGTGCTGCGCCACTTTTACACTGTCGCATCAAATCTGTGACACAACCGATGTTTGCGCACAAAAACACGGTATTCACAAGCTTCAACAAAGGCCGTAAATATTTGTAACTTAATCCCTGCTAAACAGCTGCTCAGTTTGTTAACGTGAATCTCAACGTTGGCTAGCAGTGCGGCTAACAACTTAAAGTACCACATATCTAAAAATAAATAAATAAATAAACAGAATAAAAATAACAAAACACAAATCTGACAAGACGGCCACAGTATTATTTTTTCAATATCATGTGATGAACATGAAACCTTTCTAAAACTCAAAATTACCTGCGTCTGGATGAATGTAATAACGGTATTTCCTGTAGCCTTCCTGTTTATCGTCGAGCTCGCAGTCAGCTGACTGCGTGTGACAGCAGAAGCAGATTCGCGGCGCAGAAGCTCGGGGGTTATTTTTATATTTTTTTATATTTCAACTCTGGGTCACTACTGATAACACATTTGTATGCAGCTCTGATAAAATTTAATTTTTGTATATTTTTTAGTGTTGGACTTTTTAAAAACGTTATTACCGTCACGAATCTGCTGACTTGAAAGATTTAACTTATTGGGATTTTTTCCCTTGGGCACTAGCTCCCCCTGCTGGTTTAAAATAGTGTCGGCTGGATGGCGTGGTTATATATCAGCTGCCAAAAGGAATCTATTATTTCTCTTAACAATAATTCCAAGAAGAATAATTATTTATATAATATTCAGTATATTAATATTTATTGAGCTATTCAGAGGTGGACTGACTGGTGTCTTTCAGATCATTGTTCCCCTGCGAATTCCAACTGCGCTTGAGCTTCATAACATGAACCGATGGGCAAACACTTTTCCTCAGTCTTTTCTGTTAGGGAGAGAATTTATTGTTCCATCACTTACAGCAAGTAATTCAGGTCCCGAAGCAGCAAAGCAGCTTCAGACTACCACCACCACGCTTAAGGGGTGGTATGATGATCTCTTTTATGATCCAAACCTTCCAAAAAGTTCAACTTTTGTCTCATCAGTCCTTTTTCTCTCTCCAAATGTGGTGAGATGACTCTTGTTTTACTTTTGATGAGCAACGGGTGGTCACCGATCTTAACTAGGGCCTGCATTTCACCACTATTCCAAGTTTTCTCCATTTGTAGATAATGACTCTCATTAGCCAAGGGAATTAGAGAATGATTTTTTATTTATTTATTTTATTTTATATACAGAGGGACGTGGATAGCTTTTTTTTAACTCCTTAATAAAATATTAATCATTCAAACACTGATTTTGTTGAATTTACTACTAAGAAATCAGGAAGGGATTAAAAAAAATTTCACACGACTATAAACGTCAGCTTGGACTTTGTGTAAGATGCTTGTCTAAGTTGGTGGTAAACCAAAACATTCAAATGAACAATCTGCAGTGTACTAAACCAGCATGCCGACAAAAAAGGAGAAGTACACCACGCCTTTCCCTAATGTTTTCAACCACATGATCTTTTTTAGCAGATAAACATTTGAATTTGGTCAGCTGCCATGAAGAGTCAAATGATAAATACTAGAATATGAATCACTGATACGTGTACAAGCGCGTTTAATATATAAAAAACACAAGATTGTACATTTAATATGCAGACTAAAAATATGTCGTGCAGTCTGTGGGGCAACTTATACTATTTATTTATATAACGTATATGAAGATATTTGTGCGTGTGTAGTTTTAAAGGACTTCTTAATTCTAAATAATTCTAAATACTCTACTATCCTAGAAAGTAATTGCCCGCGCGCACGCAAGCTAGCGTAGGCGTGTACGTGCTTTGACGCGTGCGTGTGTTTTCTTCAAGTTTGAGTCAGTAAGGGTGCGTCTGAAACTAGCACTACTACATTAATCCGGAAAAACTCAGTGTTGTTGCTGTAAACGAAAATAACAGCGAAAAGAATTTGCAAATTAACCTTTAATTGCGAACAATAGAACGGCGCACTAGAAACAATGTAATGACTGTACAAGTCTTGGCGCTGTCGCTTTATTCCACGCTCTTTGACGATGGCGTTTTCGCAGACACTCCCTTGAATGATTGAACCGTCCCGTCATACCTCGCGTGGCCAACGGCTCTCCGCCGACTGTTCGCTCATTGAATTACCGTGTTCAGCCTGTTCGGCTTGATTTGGGGCAATAAATTGGAGAAACGCGGGTTACACCAGCACATTTGAAAGCCGTCGCGCTATCCCGGCCTTCTGCTTATCTGACTGGGCGTGCTTTCCTGGGCTCGCTGGCTGGTTTTGGTCGGGGAGGCAGGGGGAAGTACGGAGCTGGTCCCGAGTGATGATGGAGCTGGAGTCGGCCAGTAACAGAGGCGACCTGGTAGCTGTGGGGGACTCGCTGCAGCCGCAGACCCCGAGCAGGCACGAAAAGAGCCTGGGGCTGCTCACGACCAAGTTTGTGACTTTACTACAGGAGGCGAAGGACGGGGTGCTGGACCTAAAAGCTGTGAGCATGCAACCCGGGGTCTTTGTTGTTAGCTAGCACATGTCATTTGGAGCCTGCCCGCTGTCGTTACACTTTCGCTAGCTTGTTAGCCTAGCCTAGCTGTATGACAGGCTAATTCGAACGGTTTTCTTTCGTGGCACTGCAGTTTCAATACACCCGGGTTACTTTCAAACGCAACTTAAATGTTGTTTTCAAGTTTTTAGCTAGAGAACTGAGCAAAGACAACAAGTGAACTTTGAGAACACCGGTCAACTTTTCAGACTCTGCCCCCTGCAGATTCAAAGTTTAAAAAGTGGGTCAGCTTTTGTCGCTTTCTTTTGACTCGACCCTGCTGCATCTTCACACATGAACAAATTTTCTCTGATTGATAACGTCTTTGTCACTTAACGACATGCATTCACTGTGTTAGTTTCCCCGCAGCTACTCGGAGAGCATGTGTCCTAAAGGACAGTGCATTCAGTCACCGTCCTTGTTATAAGCGCTTCTGATATTACACAATGAGCTGCTTTTAGATTAACCATAAGTAACTGGGTACTTGATAATTGTGCTCTTCTACACTTATAAATAGAACTACAGTCTGAAACGTCTAATATTGTACTATTTATACTATTTGGCTTCAAAGTCGTAAAGTTTAAAACGTGTTTTTAAAGTGAAAACCAGACTTTACCAAACTTCTCAGCTCGTGCTATAAATAGAAGCCTTTCACAAACTGCCATTCATGTTTTCTTAAACCAGTGAACCAGAAGGCAGCCTGACCAGCCAAGCATTACTTGGACTATCACAGTGGCTGCAGATAGATTGGCTTCATAGCTTTTGACACTCGCAGCTGCACTGTGCAATGCTGATAAAGTGCCAACCCTCTTTTTCCCCTCCCTGTCTCCTCAACTTTAATTTTCACCAGTTTATTAGAATAGAATAAAATAGCCCTTTTATTGTCATTGTACATTTACAACAAAATTCTGTATATGTTAGTAAAGACATCAGGAATAAATGGCAAACAGAAGAGATGTATACAGTCTATAAATAAAACAATAGAAAGGCACAAGTGCTTGGAGGTAGTGCAAAAATGCTATGATAATGAAACAAATTTACTGATTCATTCTGTAGTTGTGTCGTTATACTCTGTAACTTTCACACAACAACAACTTTTTTTCATTTTTCCAGGGATCCTGTTATTGAGATATGGAGCCGTTACGAAAACACTGACAGAAATTAGTTTGGTGCCAAAAAACAATTTTCTCCCCTGATTTTTAGGCTGAAAATAAATAAATAAATAAAATAATTGAAAGGCCATTTGCGTGCTGCAGGGTGAAGCATTTTATGTTGGGAATGTATATGAATTTATGTTACGTGAATTTTCAAATAGAGCTGTCATTAAGGAACTTCCATGAGTCCACTTTAGCCACAGGCCCTGACGATAACGCGTGGGCTTACAGTATCAGCACTTGCCATATGGTTAATGTTAGCATGTTGCACATCAGATGATTTGGGCTAGAAAGGAAGGAAGTTAAAATTATGCCACCATTTTTGGTGTGACTTTAAAAGTTTTTTGTTGCAGGGCACCTGTTGGCCTAGATACCACAGTCCCTGTCTATGCGTTAGCTACATAAGTGCTGTCGTCTGTGTTTTAAATGAATTTTTCTTGTCTTTCAGGCGGCAGACACCTTGGCTGTGCGTCAGAAACGGCGTATCTATGACATCACTAACGTGCTGGAAGGTATTGGGCTGATAGAGAAGAAGTCCAAAAATAGTATTCAATGGAAGTAAGTCCACATTTCATTTTGTTCTTCAAGTGATTGACATGACAGAAGGATGATGTGCTTAGGTAATGATGGTACAAGCTATTTGAAACCATAAATGTTTTGCAAGAACTTGCATCACTCCCAAACCTTCCACTCTGCACAAGAGGCATGTGCTACAGATGCAGAGCGAGGCGGGCAGTAGGTGAGAACCTGAGGACTGTGGTGCCTGTTGGTGTTATTCTTTGCATGTTTGCGTTTCATGGAAGATGCTCTCGTGGCTTTAGCTTCGTGGTAACGGGACAGAAATGACTAATGAACTGAAAAGTGCACATTCAGACTTTCAGTTTGCATAAATCATGAGGGCTGTAGGACTGACCACAGACCATATGCACTATAAATGCCACCTGAGTTACAATAACACCGCATGAAAAATAGAAAGACCCCGTCTACCGTAGCTGCAACTTCTAGGATATATTATAATAATATATTATAATAATATACATTAACATTTCATTTTACTCAGGAGAGAGAAGAATATCAAAGCTTTAATTACGCATAAGTAAACATTCTGAAATTTTCAAATCTTTCAGGTTCGTGCAAATGAATGTGACTCTGAGAGTCCAAGCTCTAATAAAAAACAGATGATCAGTGGCCAAGAGTTTTGTGTGTGCATGAAGGCGTCTTTATCTCCTCTCTGTACATAAACGTGCTATTACCGTTGTGTTATAGGGGTGTTGGTCCAGGGTGCAACACCAGAGAGATAGCCGATAAGCTGATTGATCTGAAGGCGGAGCTCGATGACCTGGCCCTTCGGGAACACGAGCTGGACCAGCAGAGAGTCTGGGTCCAGCAAAGCATCAAGAACGTGACAGATGACTCCAACAACAGCCCATATCCTTCACTGCACAGTCTGTGGGTTTTAGCTGGAAGTGGTCTGTCCTGTGGTCAGGGATGCTTTAACACGATAGCTTTATTGAAGCTGCTTGTTAGATTGTACATTCAAATTTTATTTGTCACGTACACAGTCATACACAGTACGATATGTAGTGAAATGCTTGGACGGCTGCTCGTGACCTAAAGAAAACAATGAAAAGGCTATGAATAAGATAGGAAATAAATTAAAAAGGGTAAATTTAACTAGGAAGGAATAAAATATAAAAATTAAAGTTAAAAAATAAAATAACTGTACAACAAAATACACAATACACAGTATAGAACTATATAAGAATGTATGAAGAAATATATATACACAATAACAGCAGCTGTACATTTTGTGTTTTCTAGTATTTAATTAGAGCAGTGTCAGATCTAGTGCATACCTGTGTGAGTTATAAACTCGTGGGTACTGCAAGGCAGGTTTATTTATAGAGCACAATTCAGCAACAAGGTGATTCAAAGTGCTTTACAGAGACATTGAAAACAAAAACAAAAAAAAGCAGGATTTAAAATTGATTAAAAAAACAGTCGATAAAATCAGTAGTTAAATGTAAGTTTTGAAATTTAAGCTTAAAGTGTGGATTTGGTGCTTTATTCAAATGCAGCTGAGAACAGGTGAGTCTTCAACCTGGATTTAAACAAACTGAGTGTTTCAGCTGATCTGAGGCTTTCTGGGAGTTTGTTCCAGATATAAGGAGCATAAAAGCTGAATGCAGCTTCTCCGTGTCTGGTTCTGACTCTGGGAACTGATAAAAGACCGGATCCAGATGACCTGAGGGATCTGGAAGGTTCATACTGGGTCAGGAGGTCACTGATGTATTTTGGTCCTAAACCATTCAGAGCTTTATAGGCCAGCATCAGAACTTTAAAGTCTATCCTCTGACGGACAGGCAGCCAGTGTAAAGACCTCAGAGCTGGACTGATGTGGTCCACTGTTTTGGTCTTAGTGAGGACTCGAGCAGCAGAGTTCTGAATGAGCTGTAGTTGTCTGACTGATTTTTTAGGTAGACCTGTAAAGATGCTGTTACAGTAATCAAGCCTACTAAAGATGAATGCATGGACTAGTTTTTCCAGGTCCTGTTGAGACATCAGATCTTTTATCCTTGAAATATTCTTGAGGTGATAGTAAGCTGACTTTGTTATTGTCTTAATGTGTTTTTCTAAGTTTAGGTCTGCATCCATCACTACACCCAAACTTCTCGCCTGGTTTGTGGTTTTTAGATGTATAGATTGAAGTTCTCTGGTGACCTGTAATCGTTTTTCTTTGGCGCCAAAGACTATTACCTCAGTTTTGTTTTGTTTAGCTGGAGAAAATTGTGGCACAACCAGTCATTAATTTCCTCAATGCATTTACCAAGAGCCTGTACAGGGCCTCGGTCTCCTGGTGACATTGTGATATATATTTGTGTGTCAGCTGCATAGCTGTGGTAGTTTATTTTGTTGTTCTTTATAATGCTGCAGGTTCATAAATGTTACTCTGAGCAATGCCAAAGATCTGACGTGATTCAGCTGTGGGTATTGGCATACACTGCCAGTCAAAAGTTTGGGCGCAGCTTATCATTAATGGTTTTTCTTTATTTTTATTTACATTGTAGATTCTGACTGAAAGCATCAAAACTATGAATGAACACCTTGGAATTAAGTAGTAAAGGAAAGAAGTGTGAACTAACTCAGAACATGTTTTATATTTCAGATCCTTCCTAACAGCCCTTTGCTTTGATTCCTGCTTTGCTCACTCTTGGCCTTCTCTCCATGAGCTTCATCAGGTCGTCACCTGAAATGGTTTCCAACAGACTTGACTTGAAGGAGTTCACAGAGATGCTGAGCACTTGTTGGTCCTTTGCCTTCCTCTGCGCTCCATCTCATCCCAAACCATCTCCACTGGGTTCAGGTGACTGTGGAGGCCAGGCCATCTGACACATCACTGCATCTCTCCTTCTTAGTCAAATAGCCCAGACACAGCCTGCAGGTGTGTTTGGGGTCATTGCTCTGTTAAACATAAATGATGGGATGGCATGTTGCTGCAGGATGCTGTGGTAGCCGTGCTGGCTCAGCGTGCCTTCGGTTTTGAATAAATCCCCAAGAGTGTCACCAGCAAAGCCCCCCCCACACCATCACACCTCCTCCTTCATGCTCCACCTTTGCACCAAATGACTCACGGACCGATACCGGTCCGTGGGTACCGCTGGTCTAATGTCCAGTCCTTGTGTTTGTCAGACCAAACAAATCTCTTCCGCTTGTTGCTTTTCCTCAGTCGTGGTTTCTCAGCAGCTATTTGACCATAAAGGCCTGATTCCCACAGTCTGCTCTGAACATGTAGAGATGTGTCTGCTACTGGAGCTCTGTGCGGCATCTATCTGGGCTCTAATCTGAGCTGCTGCTAATGATTTCTGAGGCTGGTGACTCGGATGAACGTATCCTCAGCAGCAGATGTGACTCTTGGTCTTCCTTTCCTGGGCGTCCTCATGTCAGACAGTTTGATCGTAGTCTTGATGGTTTTGGGGGACACATTCAGAGTTTTAGTGTTTCCTGGACTGACTGACCTTCAGTTCTTAAAGTAATGATGGGCTGTTGTTTCTCTTTACTTAGCTGATTGGGTCTTGTCATAATATGAATCCTAACAGTTGTCAAATAGGGCTGTTAGCTGTGCACAACACACCTGATGGTCCCAACCCCATTAACAAGGCAACAAATTCCACAAATGATCGCTGACAGGCACACCTGTGCAGTGAAACCATCTCAGGTGACGACATCATGAAGCTCGTTGAGAGAAGGCCGAGTGTTTGCAGCGCTGTCAACAAAGGGCGGCTGCTTACAGGAATCTAAAATATAAGACACATTTAGAGTTATTTATCAGCTTTTTCTTTGCTACATAATTCCATAAGTCTTGCTTCATATATTTGATGTCTTCAGTATTTATATAAAATGTAGTAAAAATAAAGAAAAACCATGAACTGAACAGGCGTGTCCAAACCTTTGACTGGTTGGTTAGACTACAGTCTGCATTGCACAGTGAGCTGCAGCATAATGAAAGACAACCATAACCCTCTATATTAGTGTTCAAAGGTCTTCAGAGAGTATGAATTACAGGTGAAGCATTTCTTCCGTGACTTTTAATGTCTGAGGAAATTCTCCTAATGATGTCACAAGGTGTTCGGGGACTTTCTGAGGGCGTCTAATAAATATGCAGTTTAGCTACAGATGTAAAGGTTTCTTCTTTCAAGCTTAAACTTGAGCTCTTTCAAATACTCATTAAAAGTCTGTCAGTCATTGTTAGTGTTTGTGTACAAAGGTGTGCTGTTGAGAACACTTGAGTTTGTGTGCCAGATGTGGTTGCTGCTGCACTTAACACATTCATACTATGGCCTATGTAAAGCACGAAGATCTCTGTGGAGCATTTAAAGGTAATTGTTTCGCACGCTTGGATTTGCAGGCATTTCGCTCTTTCACTCAAAGCAACTGTTCTCACTCGCCACCTCCTTCCACAGGTGACACTCTCCTCGCCATCCGTGCTCCAATAGGCACACAGCTAGAGGTGCCCATACCAGAATCTGTAAGTGACGTCTGTGGTGGATTTTCCTCTCTCGGGTCCGGTTGTTGTCTCGCTCACGTCTCCGACTGTGCGTGTGTGCAGGTTCTCAACGGACAGCGAAAATACCAGATCCGTCTTAAAAGTACATCTGGTCCCATTGAAGTTTTATTGGTCAATAAAGACCCCTCCAGTGCCTCTCCCGTTGTTTTGCCCGTTCCTCCTCCAGATGACGTCCTACAGAACCTCCCAGCTCCAACACCTACCTCCCAGTTGCCCACTGCCACCACACAGGTCCATTTTCTCTTTGTTTAGTGAGTCTGAAGTGGCAATAATAAGAACAGTGATCTTATACTAGAGTACTGGACCACCTTTGTTTGTTTCCTCTGCAGGTCCCTAAAACAGCTGTTGCTCCTCCCACAAAAACAGCTCCTATCACATCGGCCATCCAGACAGCAACGGGTAAGGAGAATCGAATAGAGTAATCTTTTAATTCTAAACGTTTCCTCTCCACACCCACACTGTTTCCTATCGTGGTTCACATTTTGTCCAACATTATGTCAAACTGTGTTTTTGTTGTGTGATTCTTGCCTTTATCTCAGAGGTGACAGCCACCACAGCGCTCAGCCCAACAACCGAAACGCCCGCTGCAGTTACTCAGCAGCTGCAGTCGTCCGCCTCTCTGGACGGTCCCGCGTCGTCTTCTGCCTCTGCAGGATTCGAACCAATGAAGTCAGGTCCATCTGAGTGTGAGTGTTACCCTGCTCTAATAAAGCTTTGGTTACAGTTGCCTGCGACACTGTTTTGTTTTTATTATTTATTTCTTTGGTTGTTTTTGTCTTTTCTCTGTAGTGCTGGACTTCTCTGAAATGTTTGACCCAACAAAAGGTAAACTTCTCCTGAGCTTACGTAGCTACATTATTGGTTGCTGTACGTTGAACGAGTGCATTGGAAATATTTACCAGATCCTGACGTTCTGGCTTCTTGCAGAAGTTGACGTTTCCTTAGGAACCTTTCTGCTGATGCAGGCCACTTGTCTTCATTCTCCTGCAGACTTGGTGCTTTAAAAATGTCTCTTGATTTTATTGTTCCTCTGACAGAGATCATGAGTGGTGACCTGCTGGAGGACTTGATGTCATCAGAAGGTATGTTTGCTTACAGACGAGCTGGGATATTTGTATTTCTCAGGTATTCCCAGAAAGATTCCAAAGTGGAGCGTTTGTGCAGGAAAATCTTAGCCCGAACGTGTTTGGGCTCATTTGGACGAAAGCATCATTTATCCCTCGAGAACCAGTAGAGCTCAACTGCTGAGATGAGTCTACAATTATCTGCGTTCTGTTTGGAACTGAATGTCGAGCTGTTGGAGAAGAAGGAAATTGCAGTGAAGGATTTTTGGAAAAAAATGATTTGCTTGTGTATTTCTAATTTATACCACGCTGTAAGGTGCCTGATCTCAGTTCTCTATAATAGGTCTCATGTATTTCTCTCTTTCACCCCCAGTGTTCTCTCCTCTCCTTCGCCTGTCACCTCCACCCAGTGACCACGACTACATATACAACCTGGACGAGACAGAAGGTCTGTGTGACCTGTTTGACGTCCCCATTCTCAACCTCTGACCTCCGAGATTGTCGTCAGAGCAGGAAACAGTTGGCCCAAATATAATCGACCCTCATTTTATCCGAGTTTTGCCCCTCCCTCTCCGTGACGGTGAAGGCGGGAGAAGGTGCAGGACAGCCATCCCCACCTGAGGAGCATTTAGGGGCACCTCTGCACTGACACGATGAGCTCCAGCTGAGCTCTGGTAGCAGCTCCATGTGCCGCCTCCTGAAGAAACGCAGGCGAGAACAAAACGTTTTACTTACCGATTTTCCAAGGAAAAAAAGAGTCGGAATTATATTTTTGGGGGATTTTTATGTATCATAAGGGGTTACGTTTGTGTATCGGCTGCGTGGGCACACTTGATGCGAGCGAGCTTGTGTGTCTGTGAGTGTGTTTTTGTATAGACCGATCTCTTAAGTCAGAAGTCTCCGGGATTTAAGAGAAACCTTTTACTATCAGGTTAAAAGTCATGGCACGCTAAGTTCATGCATGACGTCACTGAGTCCAAACAGAGCTGGTTAAAATGCACTGTCCTCATGTACATAGAGAATATATATTTTGTATTACCAGCGCATTAGAACTTCACAGAGAAATCATTTGCAGGTAAACCAAGTCGCCACACTCAGTTAGTCATACATGTAATCTTATATGAACTGCTTTCTTTAGCATAATGGGACATTTTCAAATCCTTCAGAGTTCGAGTGTTTTTTGTACCAGTTTCATGATCTTAATGCAAAACTAAGCCTATTTAAATTTGTGATACAAGGAATCATGGACCAAAAACATCATTTAATTAAAAGGTCAAACTTGGTGCTTGCTAAAATCAAAAATCTTCTGTAAACTTTGCTGTATAACTGACTTCAAGCTGGTACTAGTGCTTCTAAACTTGCAATTTTCTCCTTTTTTAAGAAAATCGGGCTCACTTTAGTCATTAACTCCTGTTTGTCAGAGGACAAACTCCCCTCTCCTTCCAAAATGACTTCTTTCACTCATAATGTATGTATATGAATGCCATCATTTGTATGTAAAAGGCATTTTTGATGTACTTTTTTATTGCTGCAGTGAAACGTGTATTTCTTGAATTATCTTTTTTTTTTAAGTGTATATGTGGCACAGATCCCTTTTTCTGTAGTTTTAATGGTTTTTGTTGTAAGCAGAAAATCTGCCCATCACTCTAAATTACACCTTTCACCTTAGTTGATTCTCTGCGCAAAGGACACGTAAGTGCTTTCTTCTGTAAAATCATTTCATTGTGTAACATCCTGTTTTACCCTGGAAGACGTGTGTTTGTACAGTATGTGCTGTGTATATCTCCCTCTACTGCTTGTATAGAATAGCATTTATTTTTTATACCAGCTAGATATATTATTACAGGATTCTTGCCACTGATTCGGAGCTACTCAAGAAATTTATCGACAAAACCTGCTTCAGCAAAGCATCCTTTCCCGTCGTTGCACTTTTGACGTCACTGTGGACAGACTGGTTGCTACTCATCCTCTCTTCGGTCGATATCCAGTTTTCGTGTTTCGGACAGTGTCGTGAGCTGCCGGGGTTCCAGCAGTGGTCGCTGAACAAATTGTATCCATGTAAGACTCGAGTATGCAGTCAGTTTTTAACAGGACCACAATTGCTAAGCTGTAGTTGCATCAAATGGAACACAATAAACACTTAAATATTATTTGCATGTTTTTGAGTGGCTTGTTACTTACTGGTCGTTTCTTACAGTACACACTTGATTTCATTCCAACTGTAACTGGTAACCTGATTATGAGGAACTGTTGAAGGATAAAAGTAATGGGATTCTGGGATTAGGCTCTTAGACTATGGTCAACACATAGTGGACCATCTGCGTAGAGTATCCTTCTATTATGTATCTCCCATATGGCCTTTAAAGCTTCTGCACATTGTGATGAAAGTAGAGAGACTGAGTCATAGCAGCCATTTGATAAACATACATCCCATTTTATGAGCTTCCTGTTGGCTCTCACTCCCGCTTATCTTCCTCCTCGCATTTCGTGTCAATTTTACTGCCATCTGTAAACAAAGGCAGAAAATCTGTGGAGAAAGTATTTCGCATATAAGGGGAACATAATCAATATCTTGATAGCACTTTATCAGGACAGGAAGGTCTTTCTGCTTCCTTTTTTCTGACATTAATCCTGATACATACAGAAGTCTTTCTGCTGGACAATGAGGCGACAGCAGGGGGCGGCTGCAACCAGCTGTACGCCACCGGAACTTTGAATTCAATTTTATGTGCTAGTGAAGAAATGTGAAAGAAATATGATAGAAGTCACCATAAGCAGCAACGACACCTCCGGTATGTATGTCGTTTGTGTTTCAAAGTAAAAGCACTGTATCGCTCAAAAGAAAAAACGTGACGGTCAAAGGTTTCCTGCATGGACAATAAAGTAGCAAAATATAAAATAATATATGGCGTTGGTTATTGTTCCCATTTTAATTTTCTCTTCCTTATCTCTAGTTTTATTTTCAATTTAAACGTTCAATTAATGTGAAACGCGGGAGGGGTATTATTGTGAAAATCCAAATCGGAAACTGGTCTGTTAATCAGAGACGATTGACTCAAAAAAAAAAACCCAGAAAAAAACGCTCGACCAAGAGACTCCAGCCGACCCGGAACTTTTAGGTCAACTTATCACAGTTAAAACTTTCTGCAGAGACGCTGGTACAGATTTTGTCAGCGGTCGGATGTTTTTGTAGGGGAACACACCTCCGCGGACCGACTCGGTTCCTCCTGAAGAGTAAAAAAGGAGCTGCAAATGTTTCTCGGTTCTGCGGCGGTTCCTGCAGGATAGTAGCTCTTGACTCGTCTTCTCATACCAGGTAGGAGGCATTCAGGGAAAAAGAAAGCTGTGCTCACTTTTCTTTCACGACTGTTGTGTTGACTGTTTCCAGCACGCTGTGGCTGCGCTCATATCAGATTAGCTGCACTTTTAACTTGTTGCACTGAGTGGTTTACTTTAACTAAAACATTGTTTAGCTGCTAACTTGATGCATGACTTTACTTAACTGACATGTGCTATATGTAAAGCACAATTGTCTTATTCATAATTATTATAAGAAAAACTCCGAATATAAGTGTTTCTGTGTTTTAGTTTTATTTTAGAAAGGCAGCTTCCAGTTTTCTCTACCATATAAATCCTTTTCTTGGAAACCTGTAGCATTTGAGATTTACCGAGTGTATGTGCGACTCTGTCAGGTCAGGAATTTCAGGCAGCTGAGCACTTCCCTCCCTACATACACACTTCCACAGTGGGTAGGGGGGGTCTGCCAGTCCAGGGGGTCTCAGACACACACACACACACACACACACACACACACACACACACACAGGATCTGCAGGCTAACAAAAGCTCTGAGCCTGCTTGTGATTTTAAGCCTAACGAAGCAAACTGCTCACTGAATATAGGCGGTGACAGCTGAATGTGGTGGGACTCTACTCTGTCTGACATCATCTCCTTTAAATGCATTTATGCTTTTAATGGTGCGCAGCTCAAACTCCACCTGTTTCAGCTGCACAGTGAGCGAGTGCACAGAGATGTACTCTTTGAGTTCTCGTCTATTGTAGCAGCTAGAACTTCCCATATTATAACGACCTGTTTGTTGTTGCATTTCTAACAACTTCCGTTCAGAAAAGCAGAAAATTGTATCTGATTGAACCCAGCAAGGCTGATTTTTCTTCTCCTTCTTCTTTGATTTACACATAAATGGGTTTGAGTAACTGCTGGCCTGTAAAATGAACCATGTCTTGTCTTTGGCTGTCAGATGGAAGCAGCTATGATCCATATGTATCACACTGCTGAGGCTTCGGCTTTTTTGTGTCTTTGAAAGATTGGATAATCTCTTATTTGAGCAGCTGTTCAGGTTATTAAAGGATTTTTGTTAACTGGGATCATTACATTTAGAGTACTAAAGTTAAACCTCAACTTCTCTTCTGTTTTAAGCCAGACAGTGGGTGTGGTTTCAGCTTCCACTTGGTTAATTCTGGGGGGCATCACGAACAGGCACAGACAGGTACAGACTGAGGCAAGCACGCACTGGTGGTTAACCTCTGGAGCCTCACATGAAAGCTTCCCTCTTTTCCTGAGTAAATGAAGCAGCTTACACAGTTTTGCTGATCAGCAGCTTTTTAACTTTCGATACAAGCAAGTTGGGTTTAGTTAAAAATGCAAAAAACATCTTTTAGTTCATCTTTCCTTGTCTGGGGACGTTAGTTCCCCTAAAGAAATGGTAACTTCTATTAATGAGAGGTTTTAATTTCTTCTAATTTGTATTTCTGCCGTCGTGTTCCTGACCATTAATGCATTAAGTGTAAAGCTGTATAAAATCAATTCAGACACTTTAAAAACACTTTGTAGGAAATGCTTAAAGGATTAGCTTAAGTTGATTCTTCTTGGACGACAGGAATGCAGGCTGATCTCCGCCCTGGACAGGCCACGGTGAGCTCTAGTCTGCTCAGATTATATCAATGTTCAAGCTTCTGATCTAGACGAACTGTACTGTGGTGTTCTATTCCTGTCGCCTGGCCACATTTGTCTACAACCTCATTTCCTTCTTTCTGATAGATCGTATAGTTTGCTTATAGATGCGACAGCAGTATTGCAAAGCTGTGAGCTCTGAATGCTCTGGTCCACAGATTATCCTTGTACAGTGTCACAGTGTCAGATGATGCTGTAGTAGTACTGGGTTGAAGCCCCTTGTGCCTTCAGAACTGCCTGCAAAGATTCATCAAGGAGCTGGAAACACTCCTGAGGTTTTGGTCCAGCTGCAGATCCATGATGCGAGTGTCTCCTTCGACCACATCTCCACGACGCTGTGCTTGGACTGAGATCTGGTGACTGTGAGGGCTCTTTGGGTGCCCTGAACTCACTGTCATGTTCAAGAAAGCAGCTTGCAATGATTTGACACATGACACAATGTCCTGCTGCAAGCGATCATCAGAGGACCTGTGCGCTGTGGTCATAAAGAGCTGGACGTGGTCTGCTACAGTACTTGCTGCGGCGTTTAGACGATGCTACCGAAAATATCGCCCACATTGAGACTCATCAGACCGTGCAGCATTTTTCCAATCTGCTGTTGTCGAGCTTTGGTGAGCCTGTGCGAGCCGCAGCCTCAGTTTCCTGTTCTTACCTGACAGGAGCGCCACGTCATCTGCTTCAAGGTCCGACGTGTTGTGCGTTCACAAACTCTCTTCTGCTTACCTTGATTGTGACGTGGTTGTTTGAGTTACTGTTGCCTTTCTGTCAGCTGGAAGCATTGGCCATTATCCCTGAGCTCTGGCATCAGCCATGCATTTCCTCCCAGAGAACTTCTGCTCTTTGTCTCTTTGTTTATGCCAAGTGGAGACGCTTGAGCAGAAATCATCTGAAAACTGGCTGATTTGCGAGGAAGTGACCCAATTATATTTGATGACGTGAATGATGCCAAGCAGGTAGCGTGTTTACTGTGAGTGCCGTCCTCTCTATTTATCATCACAACATCGTTATCCTGCTATTATTGTAAATCACGCGCCAGTCAGTGTTGACCTGATGATTGTGCTTACTAGGAAAAAGGGAACTTCTTCAGGGGTTGAAAGACTCTTTGTGCCAAGTTTCACTTTTACAGCGCTTTCTTTGACTGATGTACTCGTCATTTTTTTTATTGAAATGTTGGATTTTACACCCAGACCTGAAATTAAGTTCAGTTTCCACTTGCAGGCTGATTAGGAAACTGGTGTAGTCAAAGCTGTACTATATGACGCAACTCATGTGTACTTGTTTGGTTAGTTCTTTGAGCCAAAGCAGTAACCACAGCAAGTAGCCTACATGGGCTCAGTTTCACATTCTTCATTAAGCAGCTTGGACAGCTTAAAAACCGCAGGTACTCTCAGTTATTGTTAATAAAAACCGTAGCGTGACAGGTTGGCCTTTGAATTCGGTCACTCAGAAGCTGAGTAGGCCTCAGTTTCTATAAATCTCTATTAAGATTAATACTTTATTTTCAAAGGGAAGTTGACCTTTGGCACCACACCAGATCCAACATACCCAAACAGGTTTGGCCCTTCAGACTTCTCCTTCCATCTAGTCCATGTCAGTTACCCCCAAACAAAGATGGATGTTTGAGAGGTGACATCCAGGTATCGGCTGCATTCTTATCGTCACTTAAAACGGCCCTTTTTTCTCAGTCGGCGCCTCAGGGAGGCGAGGAGGCCTCGAAGCATGCGGTTGTTGTGACAGCAGTGGGAGTGTTGCTTTGTTAAAAGCTGCGAGCTTTCTTTTTGAGGCTGGAAGTGACAGAATGCAAAAAGCATCCAAGAGGTCGAGCACAGGCTGGGCTGTTAATCACACCGAGCCAGTGAACGTACAGAAGACTCAACATCAGACTGTATGTGTTGTCCATGTGTCGACAGACTGAGGAGGAGGACGAGGAAGGGTTTGAAGCGCAACAGCAGCTTCTTCTTTATCCTCTGGGAAAAGTCTATCGGAGCCGAGGAGGAAGTGAGAAGAACGATGGAAGGACTGGAGGTGCCTGTACGGGCAGGAGGTCACCTGTTTCAGCTTTACTCAGCACTCCATAAATAAACAGTGAAAGAGGAACCGCCGTGTTCTGCAGCTTCACGTGTAAAACGGTTGTTGGATCAACGCGAGGCAGCCATCAGATTTAGACTGTCAGCTCTCG